TCTACAGGGTGTTCAGGGTCTCACTACTAGATCAGACTCATAGTGACTCTGTTTACAGCCTCCCAAGTGCTGGGATTACAGGCACGTGCCACCATGCCCAAACTGAATCGCACAGTCACAATTGCTGTCTCACCACTGGCAAGGCAGGCCCCGGGGGATCAACATCCTCCCCCCCACACACACTTTAATCTGCCCAGTTATTCGCTTGGCTCTTGCCCTCCTGTATTTTTAACAAACTGCAGTTTCATCATCATGTCCCAGGTACTATCACTCGTTTGGAACATGCCAGAGAATAAAAATCCATGGCTAATTTCATAAGCAAATACCATCTAAGTCTAAAATTGGTTTTTATTCCTTTTGACATACTTTCAACATTACGTATTTAAAGCATTTGGTTTTGTCTATGAATACAATAAGAGGTACATTAAGTCTTTAATATATTCCCTAACTAATCTTGGCAGGTTAAAATGACCTCAGGTATCACAGAATCTGTTCTCTCTCTTGGAGAGATGCTGTCCTGATGATGCAGGGACCTGCTGTCCCTCTTTTGAGGGGAACTCTCCTGAGGAACAGGACCAAGAGTTCCCCCTTCTGCCAGCCCGCCCGTCCAGCAGACCCACCAAAAAGGAAGCACACTTACCTCCCACATCAGAGAATTGTCAAAGTGGGTCTTCAGTTCACTGGCATTGATCACTTTTCCTTGAAAGGGCCCAAATCTGATTCCTTTGGCAAGGAAGCTACTGCAGAACACACCAAAATGGGGCGTTGCTCCCAACATCGTGCACGTGAGGAGGAGACCTAGAGGAAACCCGAGGCAAGAAGAGGGATGAGGAAAGCGACTCCACGCGAGGTCCTGGGAATGTCAAGCAAGGAGGGCTGCCCACCTTCTGGAAGCTGAAGGGAGTCTCTATCCAGACTTTGAGGAGGCTGCTCAGACCCTAGAAAAAGAGCAGGGTTAAACTGTTCTTTTCATTAGACACACATTCATTATAAAACCTTCTCTTTTTTAAAAGCATTTTCCTCTTTACTCCCTAGAGATAACCATCTTTCTGTATATTTTTTATCATACTGTTCGGCTTCTTTGGCATCTCATTTCCTACCCCTTTGAGACTCAGATCTTTTTTGTGAAGCTTATGTAGTTGTGATGAACTCCTTTTTGCAAACTTCAGAAAGGAGACAAAGTCTAAGTCGCAGCAGACAGCGTGCTGGGAGCCGACTGGCAGAAGGCTGCCATCTGTCCACGCGTTCACATCTTTCTCCTGGCCCTCAGTGTTCACTAAGTCACCCCTGGGAATCACGAAGTTAAGTAAGCAGGGCCCCAGGCTCGGGTGGAGGTGACGCAGGGACCCTTTCCCAGCCAGTCCCATCCAACCCAGCTCCCGGCTGGCTTCAGTTCCCTTACCGGCACTGTCGGTGGGGACCAAGAGGCCCGAGATGGCATGATGCAGGCTGGCTGAGTACTCCAGGCTGGGCGCGACCCCGTATAGAACAAAATGCAGCTCCTCCTCGGTGAAGTGGAAACGACGACGACCAGGAACCGGCCTGCCCTCTCGGTTCAGGGGTTTGGGGCTTTCCTCAGATGGCTTGCTGGGAGAAGACGCTAGCTGGGAGGTCCTCTGCCCCTCAGGTAATGCTGAGGCATCCACGGGGAGCAGCGGCATTAAGGTCTCCGGTGCCCAGCACTGACCACTGTCTCTGTGCCCAATCGCGGGGACCAAATCGTCACCCCCGCGTGCGCCCGTGTACTCGTGGCTATTCAGAGCGAGTGGCACCTCCCTGGGGAGGTGGGGAATTGGGTACCACAACGGTAATTTGCTGTACCAAGGTAGTTCAAAGAGCGGCTCCCTGGGCAGAGCCAGACCCGGGCTCAGCAAGGGAGATGCCACCCCAAAGGGGAAAGGGTTCACGGCCTGAGATGCGGACATCGCGGCGTCCAGCTGTCCGAAGGGTTGGAAGTCCTCCTGCGCGGCGGGCAAGGCGTTCTTGTAGTGGCCATAGGCTGGGAAAGGGGAGTAGTAGGGAGCCAGGGGCTGGGGGCTCTCGGCCGGGTAGCACACCTTGTCCTGGGGTTCGGCCTCACTGGGCGGCCGTAGAGCCATCGCAGCTATGCTCGGGGCTGCGGAAAAGAGAGAGCGGCTGAGCTTAGGGCCGCCGTGTCCCGCATGCGCAGCTGCTCCCACCCCAGCTAACTCCAGGGTCTAAATTAATCGCATCTCGCATCGGAGTCCCAACTCCACCCCGCCAACCCTATCTCACTAGTTGGCCAAACCCAAAATCCTAAGAACAAAGACCCAACGAAAATCTCCAGAGATCCCGGCCGACTACAAGTTCCAGGTTAGTGTCGCCTTCGCTCTGCGTCTCCAAACACGCCTTGACCCGGCAAGGCAGGCTTTCTGCAACATTCTCTAACTTCGGCCCCCAACCCGAATCCTGCAAAACTTGTTTCAGTTCTCTTCACTGCCTTTTGCTCTGCCTGTAAAAGTAGCTCGCACAGGGTCTCCGGGAGACACTGGCCTCCTACCCTCTGCTCCCGGCCGCCCAAGGCCCCGGCGGGAGCGCACAGCCGCAGCGCGGGATGCGCGACCCCTGCAGGTCCTGACCACGCGGCCGCCTCCGGCTCACCGGGGAACTCGCCGCCCGCTCAGTTTCCTCGAGTCGCGCCCGGACCCAACCCGCCTGCCCTCCAGGGAACGCGCGCCGTCTCAGCCAGGGCGGTCTGGGGCGTGGGGTCGCCGGCGGGAGGAGGAGCCTCAGGGGCCGCGGCCCGCACCGCCCGCCCCCAGCCGCGGTGCCCGCCTGGAAAGGGGCGTCCTTGTGAAGACGCCTCGAGTCCTGACGGCTGAGGCACGAAGCTCTTCACGCCGGTGGCCCTAGGAGGCCAGATCAATGAGTCCAACAGGGAAACCAGCCAGGGTCGCGACTCAGAAATTAAAGAACACGGGGTCAGCGCGGGAGGTCGGAGCGCTCCACGGCAGCCGAGTCCGGCGGAGCTCCGAGGCGCCCTGCGCCCCTGCCTGGTCCACGACCGGCAGCTCGGGGCCGGAAAGCCTCTTAGGAGTTCCCAAGGCAATAAATGAATAAAGAAATAAGCGAAAGTCCCCAAAGCAGCAGAGAGACCACCCCGCCCCAGCCGGGCACCTACCTCGGCGCACCCCGGCTCCAGGAGCGGGATCCCGCCGCCGACTCCCGCGAGCCCCGAGGGCCAGGCCGGCGGCTCCAGGGGAGGCGGACGGGCTGGCCGAGGGCCGCCCAGGGGTGAGCCCACGCGGGTCCCCGCGCCCCGCCACTCCCCGCCCGCCGCCGTGATTGGCTGGCGCTCCGCGCGCCCCAGGTCCCTGGCGGTCACCCCCCAGTACCTACTCGCCGCCCACCCTGCCCGGGTCCCACGGGCGCTCATCAGTTACCCACTTCCTGAGGCCTGCGTGCCGCTCGGGCTCGGGGCGTCGTGTAGTCCCGAGCTGGACACCCCGGGTTCCGCGCCGGCCCCCCCGCGCACATTCGCACCCTGCACAGGGTCCGCGAGGCCGGGGCCGCACCCCGGTCTCTAGGTTGCGGGGTCCCACCGCCGGATTCAAGGCAGGCGGCGCCAGCCCTTCCCGGGGGCCAGCCGCGCTCGTCCCGCCGCCCGGAGACTGGGCGCCGTCCCGGGGACCGACACGCGGCGGCCTCGAGGGCCCCGCCGGACGCCTGAGATCGCGCGGCGCCGCGCCCAGACGCGTGCGGGCTTTCGGGCGTTCGCGTCGCCTAGCCGGGCTCCAGACCCAGACGAGCCTCTCTCACCCAAGTCCCAGCCGCCTCTGGCAACCCCTCCCGAAGACGCGCGACCTTGAGCGCTGGGGACTCTGAAGACGCAGTCCAGGCCCCTAAAAGGCCCTAACGGCCGCTTTTATCCCGCATGCACGCCAGCCATTGAAGAGGAGAAAGGAGAGCTTAATTCTTTTCTCATTCACAGAGGGAAGCACCCAGGGTCGGGGCAGCGCGAGAGAGGCGCGTGACCTTGCCGGGGTCCCCGCCGCCGCTTCCTTCCTGCCTGTGGGGCGCGCGCAGCCGGGAGGCGCCGAGGGAGGATGCGCTCGCCCGCCCGCCCGCCCGGGGCCGCCGCCGGGGTCCCAGAGCCTCGGCCCTCACCCGACCCTCCGCCGCGGCAGGTGGCGCCCCTCTGGGTTCCAGGGCCCCTACTCGGTCACCTTCGCCCCCGAGCAGCTGGGAGCGGAGGAGGGTGCGGGACCCGGCCCGAGGGCGCCGGCGGTGCGCTCCTCGGGGCCAGGGACTGGGAGAGGGACCGCGAGGGGGCGGGAGGTGCGGACAGAGGCCAGGCTTTCCTTCTGTCCGCCTTGGAGTGAGCAGCCTGGCCCGCACCTAGGAGGGACGGCTGTCAGAGCTTCGTCTGAGTGCTGAGCACCCCCAGAAAAGTATTATTTTTGTTTAGGAAGCAAAACCTGTGCCGCTGTCCTCAGGATTTGAGCCCCACTGGGTACCTGTCAGACCTCGAGCAGGATTTAAAGACCCATTCAGGGGTCTAAGAGCAGATTTTATGTTAGGCTATCGTGGGGATTTTTTTTTTTTTTTTTTTAATAGATTCATGGGTTGTAGGTTTTTGTTGTTTAGGACTATGCATTTCAGGCCGGCCTAGAGCTCACTGTGTAGCCCGGACTGGCCTGGAACTTGGCGGTGGTCTTCTTGCCTCAGTCTCCAGAGTGCTGGGGTCACAAGCGCCACAAGCTGCCATCATTGCTTGTAGCTTTTTTAGCAGAAACAACATGACCCCTACCTTATAGTCTTGTTCTGTAGAGAAACAAGTTTACTATATTTTGTTTTATTTTATTTCTTTATTTTATATTTTAAATCTTAATGCTAAGACATGTTTGTTAAAAAATACAACTAGAGGGCTGGTGAGATGGCTCAGTGGTCTAAAGCACCTACTTTAGAACAAGCTAAACTAAGCAAAGCGCAGGGCCTGCGGTTCAATCCCCCAGCACCACATGCCAGCCAGCCCCACCCCCTGGTGGGCTGAACTGGCCACACACACACACACACACACAAAATAAATAAATAAATAAAATATTTAAAAAAAAAATACAACTAGAGGGGGCCAGGGTGATGGCTTGGTGGAATAAGCGCTTCCCTGACAAGCGCAAGGGCCTGAGTTCAATCCTGGGTTCCAAAAAAAAAAAAAAAAAAAAAGAAAGAAATAGGTACACTAAAAGTGCAAATCCTTGTACTGTCTGGTTTACCCCCTCCACCCTTTGTTTTTGTTTTCTTTTGCAGACAGGGTCTCTGGATGTAGCTCAGGCTGGCCCTCGGGGTTGTGAATTCTCCTGTGATCCTCTTCACCCTCCTCTTCGGAGGTAATCCTACTTCACAGTTCGGTTACTCTCTTACTCTGTAGTCCCACTCTGGGTAATGGGATTGAACCTGGGCTCACTCGCTTGCTTGCTTTCTCTCTCTCTCTTTCAGATAGAATATTGTTAAATTGCTCAGGCTGGGCCGAATTTGTTATCCTCCTGACTTCCAAATAGGCAGGATTATTTTCTTTTGTACAGGGAATTGAATTCAGGACCTGGCTCTTGCCAGACAGGCACTGTGTTGCTAAGCTATATATATCCCCAGCCCCTTTTTTATTATTTATTTATTTATGTCTTTTTAAGGCAGAGTTTTTCTGCAGTTTAGGTTGGCCTTGAATTCACTGTGTAGCCCAGGCTGGCCTCAACGCTCAGTGATCTGCCTGCCTCAACTTCTGCAGTCCTGGAATTACAGGCTGTGCCACCATACCTGGCCTGGGATTACTTTTTGTTTGTGGTACCAGGGATTGAACTCAGGACCTTGCACTTGCCAGGCAAGTGCTTATTCTAATGGGATTACTTTTTTTTTTTTTTTTTTTGTTCTATGCTTGATGTGGTATAGGTGATGTAAAGTTTTAAGTAAGTTTTGTGTGGTACCTACTTCTCTTGAAATGGGGATTGAACTCAGGCCCTTGTGCTTGCCATCTCTCCGGCCTTTAATAATTTTTTTTTTTCCAGAACCGGGGATTGAACTCAGGCCCTTGCACTTGCCAGGGAAGCGCTTATTCCACCGAGCCATCTCCCTGGCCTCTAATGGGATTACTTTTAACTTGTGTTTATACATGCAGAATTTTAATGGGGGAAAAATGAGTTTTTATTTTTCTGCATTTTTTTTTTTTTTTTTTTACCAGGGATTGAATTCTGGATCTTGTGCTTGCTGGGCAGGCACTTGTTGCAGTCTTTCTTACTTACTATGTACTAGTCAGACTTCCCTATTAACACATTAGAATTAACTCTACTCTTCATAGTGACTGCGTGGTTCAGAATTTCACATCCTGGGTGTGCCTTTGTATTGTTTTCTCTCGAAAGATACTGAGGCTATTGCCAGGTGTGCAAAAGCTCATGGCTTCTGGAAACTCTTACTGGGATGCATATTAGTGCTGCTCTGCTTATAGAAGAAAATACGAGTGTGAAACTGCTCAGTCGGAAGATGTAAGCACTGAACATCTGAGCAGCTGCGTTAAGCCATACTGATTCCACCCCCTAGAGCAGTAAGTGCGCTGTCTCTCAGCCCTCAGTGAATGCTAAATATTCCAGTCCTTTAAAGCTGCCCACATTTGGTTGAAAAGTTCTATCACAGTATCTTATTATTTTCTGTTATCTTACTCTAATTTGCCTTTTAGTCTTTTTACTTAGTCTTTTTTTTTTTTTTTTTAAAGACAGGTTCTTACTATGTTGCCCATGCTGGCCTCGAACTCCTAGGCTCAAGTGATCCTCCTGCTTCAGGACTCCAGGTGGCCACCACCTTACCAGTTTATTTATTTTTGAGACAGAGTCTCACTATGCAGTTTGGGCTGGCCTTGTGCTCACTTTTTGTAGCACCCAGGCTGTTCTCGAACTTGCAGAGATCCTCCTGGCTCCACCTCCTGAGTGCTGGGATTACTGGTGTGTGCAACCACTCCCAGTTCTGTGTCCACATGGTGGGCACCCACATCTGGGGCCAAGCCAGCACACTCAGGAATCCAGGGCCAAGACCACAGTGCATGTGGGCCTGGGGATCGAACTCACATCCTTGCTCTTGCCAAGTAGGTGCTTATGCCTCTGAGCTATCTTTCTGGCCCCACCTTACAGATTAATAAATATCTTTGCACCACAATTGATGGGTGAGGCACCAAGCCAAGATACAACTGTGAACAAAGGACTTGGAATGTGGCTCATGTGGTATACACAAGGCCCTCAGTTTGATCCACATTGCACATGTGTGCGCACACACACACACAGACCCCGGCTGAGGCAGGAGAATTGTTGCAAGCTTGAGGTCCGCCTTGGCTATAAAGTGAGTTCAAGGCCAGGCTGAACTATATAGTGAGAACTTGTCTGAAAAAGACTTAAAAAAAAAAAAAAAAAGCCAGGTATGGTGGCACATGCCTGTAATCCCAGAACTCTGAAATTTGAGGCAGAAGTACTACTGTGAGTTTGAGACCAGCCTGGTCTACAGGATGAGATTCTGTCACCAAAAATAAAAACAATAAACAAACAAACAATTGTGAGTAAGCCACCTTGGTCTCTGTAACAGTCCGATGAACTGGGTGTTGTGGCACACACCTATAATCCCCAAACTCTGGGGAGCTGAAACATGAGAATCACAAGTTTGAGTTTAGCGTGGGCAGTTTAGAGACTCAGGCCCTGTTGTAAGTAAAACATAAAAAGAAAAAGAGGTAGGAATGTACAAAGGCCTTGAGTTCAAATCCCAATATCATAAAATAAATACATAAATAGTGTCTTATGAGGAAGATCTGATTTTTCTTTTTTTTTTCTTTTTTTTTTTTTTTTTTTTTTTTTTTTTTAGGGAAGGGTTTACAGGGTGTTCAGGGTCTCACTATTAGATAGTAATCGTAGTGAGGTCTCTGTTTAAAGCCTCCCAAGAGCTGGGATTACAGGCACACACCACCATGGCCAGTCTCAATTGCTGTCTCAGCACGCCCCAGGGGTGGGGCCAGCAGGGCAGGTGTGGGGATTGAACCCTTGGCTCTTGCACCTGCTTGTAGGTGCTTTAATCCACTGAGCTATTTGGCCAGTCCTAAGATCCAAATTTGAGTGAATACTGGAATGTGTAGTGATGAAGTGTAAAGGGAA